TAATCCTCGCGCGTCTAGGCAAGTTCGCGCGTGCATACCGTCGCTTGCGCGTTCCCACCCGCGCTCGTCCCCGATAATATCGAGCGCGTCATTTCCCGCGCGCGCTCGCCCGTCCGCGTATTGCGCCTCTCCGGCACGACGACTTAGCCTCCTTCGCGCATGCCACGCGCGACTCGCCGCGTTCTTGAGCCTTCTCGCCGTGTCCGCATCAGCGACGCCTCGCGGGCATGCGCACACACTGCCTGTCCGCGCTGGCTGATTGCCGGCGCGTTGTTGCCGCTGTGTGCGGGCAGCGCGGTAACGACCGGCCCTTGCCGGCCGTCCGACGACTCCTCTCGACTGTTTTAACATGAAACAACATGAATTATCTTGACATGATCAAAACTGCTGAATATACTCAAAAATCATGAATTTGCCCAATATGCTAAGGTGGCCGGTGGCGTGCGCACCGTGCGCCGCCTACGGCGTTAAGCTGATCCTCGACCAAACTTTATTTTTCTTCGACAACTAACACATAACTAAACATGAAATAATGTCTACTGATCAAATCAACATGAATTTCTCGAAGGATCATTCACTAACATGACCATACACATGGACAGCCCGTGGCATGCGCTACGTGCGCAACCCACGTCCTTTGGCCAAATAATCGATCAAACATGAAAATATCCCGACAAACTTAACTTAACTGAACATAATATACTATATACTGACTGAATACATGAAAGTTGTTCGGGAGTTTCGTATTAAGCATGAACTTGTTCGACATGATTGACATGATACGGTCGAGAGCAACGTAAGAACAATTCATGAAATACATGAACTTGATTATCATGATTTAAGCTAAACATGCTGATACTAACTTAGAAAAAGGATTCCAAGCAATTACCTCTTCCTTTGCTCGGAGGAAATAACAAAATTTGCTTGAAGACGTGCGTTGATCTTCGTGGCCTCACGTGTATACGGTGGCTCTCCGTGTGCTTGCGACTAAGCTCCGCGTGCGTACTCTCAACTAAGGAAAACTCTCACTATCTCTCTATACTTAGCACATATAAATTAAGGTGTGTAGGAGCAAACTTTTCTCCAAACACATGCTATATATATATGGCCGAATATAAATGAAGAGGTGAGAAATTATGGTCCAATAATCTTGTACCATTTGTTAAATAATGGGAGCTTAATATGCTTAATCACCTCTCAAGTAGGTTAGTCATCACTTAGTAGCTTAAAAGATGGACACCTCATACTTAAGGAGGAAAACCTTCTCCCCATGAACCTCCACTAAAATGCCCACGGCATTTAATAAGATTTTTGCAAATTTCACTTGAATTGCTTGGTAATGCTCACGGCATTAACTTAATAAACATGATTAATTACAAATTAATCACAATCTTATGCTTAACTATTTAACTAAGCAGGATACTTAATTACCAAAATTATTCCGAACGTAAACGGGACTTCGAAAATAATTTCGGATAATCTTGACTGAAGTAATTAATTCCGGAAAATAATAAACGACAATATTATTATATCGGAACTAAACGCATGATTTATATTACTAACATGACAGGATATTACAAAAATGAGGCTACTTAGCAAGGTATAAAATGAGATTAGGCTCGTGAGAACATAATCAAGGTTCGAAATGCATTATATGATTTGTTCTTTGAGTATGAACATGATCATTTGCGGACTCGAAAAGGTGTTATGCTGACTAGGGATTCATATCATGCTACTTCAAACTCAATGCCAAATGAAAAATCGGTTCCCACTAGTTTGTCCATGTACGATGATTATTCGGAAATCGTGGAAGAGCATGCACCTATAAAGTCCGACTTGGACAAGTAATTGGAGGAAGGGGTGTATAGATGTCAAGATGGGGATGGGGCCACTGCATTTGGCTTGGTGGAAATCTAAAGAGCTAATTAAAGTACAATATTTCATCCAAGTTGGCTCGTGATGTTTTGACTATTCCTATTAGCACAATGGCATCATAGGCAACTTTTAATGCGGGCACCAGAGTGTTAGATCCTTATCGTTCTAACTTATCATCTAATATGGTGGAAGTTCTTATTTGTGGAGCAGATTGGGTTGGCCAACTCACGGGCTTAATAAACCAAATATGGCATATGTAAGCTCTCTTTCAATAAATTTTTATTGTAATGGATAATTTTTTTAATGAATTATAACAATAACTCGTAATATCTTATTTTATATTTTTGTTGGAGGAAAAAAAATAAATAAATAAAAAAAGCAAGTTGATGTCCATTTGAAAGCATGATGAATGGTTAAGTTGATGTTGGTGTAAACTTGTTGATGAACAATTTTATTCTTTTTAGTGAATATGACAATTATCCATATAATTATATCTTATATTTTTGTAGGAGGAGAAAGAGCAAGTTGATGTCCAGTTCAAAGCAATAAATTGGTGATGTTCGAGTAAAGTTGATGATAGAATTTTTTTTATAGTAAAATTGGA